GTCGGTCTGAGAATATTTTTACATACATTTCCTACTAACAAGTAAACCAAGGAGGAGGAAACTAAAAAAAATAAATAAAAATCAAATGAAGATCATTGGTTACCTAACTTAACCAATAAGGACACTCTTGGAAAAGAGATTTTTAACTCTCAAGAAGTTTTGTTCTTGTTAAATAAAAGGTAAAATAAAATTAAATAAAAAAAACAAACAGAGCGATATACCTAAGTACTAAGTAAAATATAACAAATTGGTTAGCTAGCTCACAACGATGTTTATGACCGATTTTATGAGGCATTACAGGTTTGTTTTTAATGGAGGAATGACAATGTACCTGGGCAAGCTTGGAGGATGATGTGTGACCTGTAGAATCCACTATAGTCATACGTCATCACCTGCAACTTTAGCAATTTTGAACAAAAAATGAAGTTACTTGTCAAAAAATAGTTGGTGAACGGTGAGGCTAATCAACGTCGTAAGGAAACAAATATGATAAATTATTTATAAACACTGATATAGGCTAATAAAAAGTTTCAAACAGGTAAAGTGAAAATATAAAACAAATGGTGCTAATTAAAATTAGTCCTAAAAAAAACGTCCAGCACCCGCAGTGTAAAAGTAGCTAGTGAGGACCCCCTGCGCTCGAGAGAACAAGTATCGTTCTGTAGGACTTGTTGGAACAACAGAAACACTCGCAGCGTTACAGGTTGGTACAGGACAGTTGGTTGAGAACCTCTGCTTTAAAAAGGACCATAAGAGCACGCGCATATATGTGCACACCAAAGACATTTAAGAGCACTGCGAAAAGTAACAGTAACAAAGAGTTTATAAGCAAACTATTTATTACAGGAGTGCAGGACTGGAAGATTACGGTAGGTTGTAGCGTTTACTCACTACTACGCTATGCTCGTAAATCATTTTTCCAACCACAATTTGACAGGACCCATCTGTCACAGTGTGACATGCCATCAACTTGAAGATTACTGTTATTGTACAGTGTGTAGAAGACTTAAGAATAACAGCAATTGAAGAGAGTCTGAAACACTAGCAGGGCTCTATGATGTGGGCATTTCACTCGCATGTGCCCCTAAAAATAGGTATGTGCAAACCCCGACAAATGATTATGAGCAGTGTGTAAGTAGTAAGTAAAGAAACGTCTCTGGTAAAGATTATACTTAACCCCCACCCCACCTCTTGTGTTTCTTGAACTCTTGGGAAAAAGGTTGGGTAGAGACCTGACTAGGCTACATTATTTCATCTTTTTTGGAGGAATCATTGCACCTGCTAAGTTGACACATGTCATCCACATTAACAATTCATTGCAACTGTTGAAAGCCTCTGATGTCTAACACAGCACCTTTTTCAGGAAGACTGAAAACAGCATTGTTCTCAATGTGACCTCTATCCTTCAGAGTTTCTCCAAAGTGATTTTAAAGAAGTTTTGAAATGAGTTGGTGTATTTCCTCAACTCACACAGGAACATGAAGTCCTTCACCTGAGGTGTGCACAAAATGTACTGTGTTAAATTGCAGTGTGTAATTCAAAGTTTCACATAATTGGAGATGTAGAGACGTTGACACTTAACAGTCTCTGTGAGTGCCTCGCTGTTGACATCCATTGAATAATAAAACCATTTACTAACAAAGCACTGATGCTGAGAGAATTTTTTCCCTTTCCTTCAACCACACAGAATTATTATTTTGTAGTTACAGAGCATTACAGGGCACAAAGCTGACTGCACCTTGGCTAGAAACCTTTGTGTAGCTGCCGCCTCGGCCGTACCATTGCTAAGCTCATCCACTGCATCTTGTCAATCTACTCTGTATGCATTGATCTGCATTCATTCATGTGTATCAGCAGAAGGTTTTGTGCAGACGCTGTTTCTTTCAACCTTCAAATAAGTAACATAAAAATGTGTTATGCAATCACAAAGAGGATAAACTCTAACAACAAGTGATTTACTTACTTAATCTTATTGTCATTTAGTTAATCTGTCAAATTTTTTGTTTAAACATGCCCAAGGTGATGTCTTCATATTAGTCGTTTTGTTGAACCGACCATTCACAAGCCAGTTGGCTTAACAGTCTCGTCTTCTATTTTAAGATTAATAAACTGGAAGACGGCCCTTTGGGATTTTGTCCTCATTTTTTTTATAAAAACCTCTTCTTTAATAATCAGTTGATTAAAATGGCCATTATTCAGAAAACATAATCTATAGATCAATCAACAATGACAATAACCCTTAGTTACAGCTCTGAATATAAAACGTCTCCCCTCTGTGCTGTGACTAACATGTGTTTCAGTCCCAGGTGGGAAATTTATTTTAACATGTAGGCCGTCAACCCCCAAGGCAACAGCTGGCTCGGTCAGTCAGGTCACTTCCAGCTTCCAGGTGTGGAAGTGGAAATATGAACTGTGGGCTATTTAAAGTGCTGCCCCGTCTCTAACTCTTCACTCACTCACTTACACACACACAAAAAAAAAACCTATTCAGCCAATGAACTGGGGTTGGATTGATAGTCGGTGCGTGTGGAGCCAGTGGGTTGCCACACTGTGCAGCCACGCTGGGTAATGAAAATTCAATGAAGTGCTTGGATACTCTTTCAGAGTCGTGTAGGAAGTGACGGGGGATGCTGATAGAAGACAGATTTTCACATGATCTGTGGGACTCAGCCCGGGGATCAGAAGAGGATCTTTAGACTGTGTGTGTGTGTGTGTGTGTGTGTGTGTGTGTGTGTGTGTGTGTGTGTGTGCGCGCGTGCGTGTGTGTGTGATGTAATTGCAGAACATACATTTATAATGTTAAACTAATCGATTTTTCTGACAGATATGTTTTTAAAAAAAAAATAGAATTTTTTCTTCAATAAATAACATGGTAAAAATCAACATCTGCTGTCGAGCTGCAATGATTAATCGATTAGTTGTCAACTAATCAACTATTTCCTAATTGGTTTGAGAGAAAAAAAGTCAAATCTTATCCGATTCCAGCGCCTTAAAATGTTAAAATATTCTGGTTTCTTTACTCCTCTATCACAGTAAACTAAATATCTTTGGCTTGTGGACAAAACAAGACATTTGAGGGCATCATCTTGAGCTTTTTGGGAAACACTGATCGACATTATTCGCTATTTTCTAACATTGTATAGACCAAACAATGAATTGATTACAGTAATTGAGAAAATAATCAACACATTAATCGACAATGAAATAATCATCAGTTGCAGCCCTAGTCTGCTGGCTAATGTTGGTGATTGAGAGCAAATGGTTATATGAGCAAATCAGTTTGACTGATTTTTTAAATCTGAAATAATATACAAAATGTGAGCAAAACATTGAAAAAACTGGGATTTTTTTTTTGTCAAGAAAATGACAAGTGGCCTACTTTATATCAGACAGGAGCGCACACACACCTGTGTTTTTGCACTAGTCCAGCAGAGGATGAAACTCAATACTTTATCACCATCTTGTGGTAAAACAAAGGAACATCATTGATCATTTTGAAAGTGAACTCATGCTGCATATATTTGTACAGAAGATGGACAAATCTGATACAGATAATATGGGTTAATACTGCTGATGTGAAACGTCCGTCAAACAGACTTTGCCTAAAGAACCAGAATCTATCAGCACCAATAATCACACAAGTTGACATACATAAAGGTAGATAAAACTGACATAAGACAAAATTTAAATTCTGTACTGGGAAAACCTGTGCACGCGCACAGGATGTCGCTATTTGTATGATACTTTCCCTTCAGCTGCTTTTTAGTAAGCCAGGTCACGTGGAACGGATTTATTTAAGTGAATACAAATCATGAATGCACAGATCCTTACATCCTTGAAACCAATCACCTTGAACTACACGTTGTTACAGAGTCAACAACAGCAACTTACTCATAGTTCACCACCATGTAAATCAACAGCATGAAAGCATCACAATGCATCTGCCAAACAACAACAAAAGCTCTGCTGATACTAAGAAATTATTTCACATTTAACACCGAAACAAATAGTCCTGCTGCACATGGGTAGATGGACATGGGAGAAAAACATTGATCAAGACAACAACCGGTCTCATTGGTTTATGGCCAAGCAGAAAAACAGCAAGTGAACAGAGAACTTGTGATCAGCATTTTAACAAACACTTAGCTTGTTGAAGTGAAGCAGTGATCCTCTTCTGCATCTCAGTAAACAGTTTTGAAAGAGTAACAGAAGTAGAAAGAAACTCCAGCTTGAAACACGACTGAAGTCTACAGGTGGTGTAATGAGAAACTCTACAAAGCCTTGCTGAAGCTTAATTATGTGACTGCATCAGGTGTTCAGCTGATGAGCAGAGAACTGTGGGTATAGGGCGGAAGAGTGGGTGGGGCATCTACAGTTCGCCCTGCCCTATACTTACTGTGCCACGCCTCACAACAAATAAGTGACTGCCATTTTTTTAATGGCATGCAGATTTGTTTTTTTTCCTTTGCTTTAGCTAGCTAGCTAAGTAGCGTAAACTCCAGGAGTTGGTTTATTTCAGTAAACATACTTCTTTACTTTCCATCACTGGTAAAAAGTCACTAACTCAACTACTGTTAATACAATTTATTTTTGTTCTGTACTGGAGTATTTTCATTGTAATGTATGGGCCACTTTCCACTCCTCTATATTTCAGATTAACAGACTGTACATTTGTTTTGTTTTTACTCAAAGACATTTATCCAACAGCTACTTTGCAGCTGATTTTACAAACAAATCATGTGATCTTCTGAAATATCACACATCGTTACTAATAAATCCGCCCTACTGCTACAACATTAAAATACTGTTTATAAGTTATATCAATTAATATAATAACGTAGCTCTTTAAAAAATGGGGCATCGTGACCTAAAGTATTTTCTTCGATGGCCCTTTAGTAATCCAGTGTCTGTTAGTGCATTTAAGGGAGATGCATGTACTGCCTGAATACCAGGGTGTATTTTCTGAGAATCCAATTTAAATGGTGGTTAAAACACCACAATTCACAGTCAAACTGTTTCTTTTTCATTTTAATACATTATTTCTAAAGAGAGGAGCCGTTTCAAGTATCATCACAAAACTGACTGATGTGGCACAAACAATAACATAAAGTTTCAAGAACACAGGGAAAGTGATAAAAAGGCTTTGTCAAGCTAAAAGTTAAAAAACAAATCTGCATTTCAGCAGTGCAGTTTTAGTGTGTCATCAAATCCAATTTTACTTTTGGCATTTTTATTAAATGTTGTTTAACATAAAGACAGAATCGGACAGTAACATTGTGGAAATGGTAGCTAAAGAAAACCAACAACAAAGAAACATGATATTGCAAGAAATTAAAGCCTTGCGTAAATGTGCCTTTTGAACGATCAATTCCCAAACCTCAGGGTTCAACAACTCTTCCTCTGTAAGTTTGAATGAGCTTTATAATTAGCACTGTCTGGGTGCATTTATCAGTCACACTTGTTTTTTTATGTTGCAGTTAATAATTCTAATATTCTGTATACATAATAATTGAATTATATATAATAAGAAAGGCATATTCTGGATAAAACCCCATAATCCTGCTCAAAAGACCCTGCAGGGAAAAGGGGGGGGGGGGGGGGGGAGCATAAAATATTTCAGCGTAAAGGTTTGAGGTTGTTCAGTTTTCAAGATCCATCCACTTGTACACTGAACCCTTTCAAGTGGCCTCATCCTGTTGCATTGAACTATGGAGAAGTTGTGTTAAGTAGTAGAAGCCTCACAAGACATCATCCATACGTATATACCAGACTTTAAACAGTATTATAACGATGCAAAATGTTACTGTTTGTGTCAAGAATATGCCATCACATCGTTGTCCGTTACAGACATAAAGAGTGACAATCATAACATTTTCAGAACTGGAGAACTAGGTTGGTAACATGGACAGAGATAGTTAACATGGCTGAGCAGACGGAAAAAGAGCAACACCCACATATAAATCTAACTGCATCACCAGAAAATCCAAGGTGGTGATCCTTGATGCTGAGCTATTATTCTGGTGGTTGTTATGCACTGTACTTATCTTGCTAATTAAAGCTGTAACGATTAATTGATTAGTCATCTTGGGCTTTGGGAGACACTGATTGGCATTTTTTAACCATTTTCTGACCAAACAACTAATCTATTAAATTAAAAAGATTAACAGACAATGAAAAGTTACAGCCCTACGCTCAATACTGTTGTATATGTACACAGTGGTTTCTGACAAGAAAACCTTTTCCATAATATATCCCCCTAGATAACCACTGCATACTGGTCTTTCCTAAATATATAGTGGAGACCATGTTCTAACTTAATTTCTCTTCTTATTCTTAATTGTTTTAAAATTGCTAAAGCTAAATTGTATTTTTGAAATGTGAGAATGAGAGCGACAGTAACACAAAGTTAAATCAACAAATACAACTCTGCACTCTTTCCATGGGTTAAAACACACGCACTCAACTTTAATTTTAGATGGTTGCCACAGTTACTTCATGATGTTGTTTTGTCAGATTTTTTTGTCTGTGTGTGCGCGCACATGTGGAGATACTTTCTTCTTCCAATAAATAATTCATGGTAAATAATCAGGTAAAACCTGGAAGACAAAAATTTAAACCTAAATTCCCCTTTGGTGCCCCAGTTCACTCTTATGTAGTGCCACATCTGCAGCAGATAAAAGCGGTAATTGGCTGGAGACACCTCTTTAACCAATAAGCAGATGTTAACACAATCAAAAGTTTGTAATGGACTGTAAGTCTATTCTAACCCTGCAATTAATGAACACATGGAAACAAAAACAGCATTGATCAAGGTCACTCATAATGATCGCCACTAGTTCTGCACCTTCTTACCAACATCACAAGTCATCATTATTCACTCCCAACACAGTGCTTCAAAGATATAAACATTTTTACAATCTTTAGAAAATAATTCACATTGAATGTGCTCAATCTGTCGCCTGGAAACAGTTCATTCCAACAAACGCCTCTCTGATAAGTTTCTTCTTTCTACTCCTCAGTAAAACCTCTTGTTCCTCTCCTGTCTCTTCTGGAAAACTACAGCTCCCACCACAGCGCACACTACGATTCCCAGCAGAGCACACAGCAGAAGCAGGAAGACCTTCCAGCCAGTGAGGGGCGTGCCTCGGAAGTTTCCAGTAGGATCGTCAATGTTGTCTGTGAAAGAAGAAGAAAGTCCATGTTCAATTAAATTTGATCTGATTATCACATTTTTTTGTCATAGTAAGTCTCAGGAAATCTGCTTGCACCTGGTACCAACATGAACTTACAGTTATGGTAAAGAAACAAAAAACAAAATTACAGCCACTTTTCTAATCTACTTGCTCAAGTGTGAATTCATCAAAGATATAGGGCCCCTTCTCTTCTCAATTTACACCACCTCACTGGGGCAGATCATTCGCTTGCATCGCTTCTCTTACCACTGCTATGCAGACGACACGCAACTCTACTCGTCTTTGCCGCCAGACGACCCTACCGTCTCGGCGCGGATCACGGACTGTCTCTCGAACATTTTCACGTGGATGAAGGCTTGCCACCTTCAACTAAACCTCTGTAAGACTGAACTCTTGGTCATTCCAGCCAAGTAATCTAACCACCATAACATCAAACTACAAATTGACTCCTCAACCATCACTCCAACCAGGGTGGTGAGAAACTTGGATGTCACAATTGATGACTAGCTGTCCTTTTCAGACCATGTTGCTGCGGTCTCATGGCCGTGCCGCTTTGCTCTATACAACATCAGAAAAAACAGGCCCTACCTCACTCAGTATGCCACCCGGCTTCTGGTACAGGCCATGGTCATCTCTCACCTCGACTATTGCCCTCCTAGGAGGTCTTCCAGCTTGCACGGTGAAACAGTACCGGGTGTTCTCATCTGTGATACCACGACGGTGGAACGAGCTGCCACATGCCATCAGAGCGGGGCGTCCTTCTCTAACTTCAAGAAGCTATTGAAAACTCATCTCTTCCGAGAACACTTTCTCTCTAACATCTAACTACTAACCTAACATGCACTTCCTGTACCCTTCTTTTATCCCCTTACAATTCTCTTTTGCTAACCCTTACTTCTTTCCCTACATGAGATAGGTGCTATTAGCTCTTACTAGTATTTAGGGCTGCAATGATTAGTCGACGTAATCGACGACATCAACTATAAGAATTTGTCGATGTGAAACTTCATTGTCAGTTGTATTAATATTGGGATCATTGATGTATTCTCTGATATGTTCAGCATAAACAAACTTTCCATGTGGTTTTCTTGTTGCATTTGCTGAAGCTGCTCTGTTGTGTTTTCAGTGGTTGTTAAAGGGCTTATCTGGGTCTAAAATGCAATTTATGGATGTGAGATTCCTCGGTTACATTTAGTGTGAGTTATGTTTGTGTGTTGCCATAGCAACATACAACACAAAGCTTTTTTGTTTCCACAGTTGTCATCAATTTTATTTACTTCAAAATTAAAAAGCCCACTGGCGTCTGGACATCTGTGAGTAAAATCATAAAAATGAATCGTTATTTTTAGTTATTTGATGTTTTTTTGGAAATTTTAAAGCTTCAGTGTGTAAGTTTTAGTGGCATCTAGTGGTGAGGGTTGTGAATTGCAACCAGCAGTCCATTCATGTACTCCATGGATGGTCCCATTTCCTGAGTTATGAACTCGTTCATCAGACTTCAGTGTGTGTTCATGTGCGCTTAAGTCGGAATGTGGAATCAACTTCAAGATTGCTGTAATGTCACTCTACCTTTAGGGGACTTGAGAAGGCTGACGCTGGGCTCAATTTTGGTCCAGTCCTGGTTCTCCTCCTCGGGGGTGTGTTCCACCATCAGCTGGTAGAGCTTCATAGAGATGATATCATGGTTATCTGTAAAATAATTAAATATATTAGCAAATGGGTAGTGTTGGGCAAAGTACTTGGAGGAAGTAACTTTTTACTCCTTCAAAAAGTAATATTACTTGACTTTTTACTGTGTATTAAAAGTAATTAGTTACATTACAATATTACTTTCACTAAAAAACAGACGTGTATAGCTAGCCCATTTTAAAAATCTTAATCTGAAACACTGCAGCTTTTCAAACCAGATGGTGCTGTACAGTATATATATGTTCGGGTTGTTATTTCAATAAACCTGCTTTGCACCTGCCTCAGACTTCTCTTTTCCCCACAATCAGACACACTCACATACACACCTAACTTACACCTGTGGTATCTAACTGCAAACACACCCTCTTGACCCGCCTCTCTCTGTTCTCCCACCTCCGTCTTCTTCACTTTCTCCATCAGCAGTATGTTTTATAAAGTCGCCTGAAAGACACAGAGCTCGTCTTTTTCCCCGTATTTTTCCACCCGCAGGCCGTTATCACAGCAGCAGGTGAGCCACATGTCGAGCACCCTGTGTGTTCAATGCTGCTTTACCTGGTCCGTGCTTGTAAAATATCTTTTACAATCTGTAATACTTTTAAAATTTCATAAAAAGCTATGTGAGGAATACATTCCTAGAAGGTGTGGAAGAATGTATTATCATTGCCACAATGATTGAACCTGAGGAAAATATAAAAAAAACAAAAAAATAGTTCATCATGTTGTGTTTGAAGACTTCCGAAGTGGATATTATGACTTCTTTATTTTAGTTGTTTATTAGTGTGCGGATTTCAAGCTCTGACCTACCAGAGAGATCTCCTGTAGCTGCTGAGGCACCAAAGAAATATCCAGTTGGAAGACGAACACCTCCGATGTCGATGCACTCCTTCCACTCATTCTTGTCTTCCACATCAACCATCACCTGTAATATATTCACTGGATGTAAGTGATGCAACGCAGCGTTGACATTATATTTATTACAATGTAATAATATATGGGTGCTATTAAAACATTGAAAACAAGACAATACATATAATTGTTGTAACTGAATGCAGTACTTATTTACAGGACAAAGAGACACCCTGAGTAAGCAATTTATTTAAATGGAGTAAGAACACAAGTGGTAGTTTTATAATGACTATGTCTGGATTATGTATTTAAACTTTGTTTCCTCAAAATACTTGAGCACACAGAATCAGTTTAAAATCAGCTTAGAGTGCAGTTCTTCACCAAACTAAACTAAATTAGAAGAATGAGAATCTATGCAGCATTCCTATGAAAATAAAAAGCTGTGTCTACATACAGTGAGTCTTCCTTTGGAGTAGCGAATGGCGAGGTACGTGTCGTGCTCCCTGTTCCTGATCTCAGCAGAGCAGCCTCCTAGCTCAGACGAGCGGCCATCTTTGCCGTGGTCGTAATTCACTGAGCCGTTGTTCACCATAGCCGAAATGTACGGGAAGGAACGCTGGTGACCGAAAGGAAATAATCAACAAATGAATCACAAAAAAACAGGCATTATATATGTTTATTCTAAAATAAAGATGGACAAACAAATATAGAAAATAAAATGTACGAAGCCCACATGATACATTTCAGCCCAGCTGGATACACACAGAGGCTACCTTCACACTGCAAACCTTTTTAGGATCAATTTTAAATTGGTGATCATATCTGATGTTTTGTATGAATGCTCATAATTATTTAGAACAAAAGTCTAACATCAATACAGTTTGAATTGACATCAATATCATGTTTTGAGTTACTTTATCCGTATCTACACTATGATTTTGGATACAGTATGTGTATTCAACTTTTGAATTAAGTAATTGAACCAAACTATGTGTTTTGTCAGTATTGGTCTTACTGTTCTCTATCCTACAAATTCTGGCAACACTGAAAAACTTTGATTTAGGCATTTAAAAGTAAGATGGATGCCTCAGGATCTGTTTTAATAACATGCAACCAGATTTTAGCTGTTCACTCATGGATAAGACAAAAATAGGGACTCTTTCATTTGCAATGTGGAAGTAGCATATTTCACAAGACAAGTTTTGGTGAAATAAAAACAACCTCCTTTAAGATATTTAACAATGTTTAAACAGCAAGATTACTTATAGAGAACCATCACGCTTAGTAATGTCCTTTAGTAGTAGTTATGATTCATTTTTTTCTTTATGGCTGTAGAAACAAATGTGTGAAAAAATGGCAAAAATAAAATGTGTTGGGTTTTCATGCTTAAAAAGTTTCAAAAACATGCCAATTTAAAGTGAAGAAAAACCAATGTGCATTGAGACAACATGCTGACAAGTAAAATCTGAGCAACCACTCACATCCGTCGCATCATCGTTAGAGTAAGTATCTATAAAAACGGCCAGCCCGTGGAAGAGAGCATTGTTGGAAAACACAGGCCCTGCAATGAAACAAGCAAGTCAATCGCCTCGAGGTAATACACTACACACTTACATCCATTCCGTGGAGGTCATTGCGGAAGGTATCCAAAAAAATAGCCAGGCCAAGATACTGATCTTGGTTTCCAAACACAGGGCCTAGGATGGAGGCAGAGATGAGGTGAGACATGAGCAGACAACTCGAGACACTGTTCTGTGGTCAGCAGTGATGACAGCAAGCTGAGATGGTGGACACAAACATCTGGACATGCAGAAATTAAGCTGACTGATGGAATGAGGACGATGGGGGTGCATTTCAGTGAGGGGGCGAGTGAGCATGACTGGGACAAATACACATCTTTGGATTTACTGTTTGAGTTGCAGCACTTTATACATGTCACCGTTACCTTTATCTGTACATACTGTTTTTAACAGCGACTCAGTCTTTACTATATTGTGACATCTCTCTTTTAATTCATTAAAACAGGACAAAATGAGGCTAAAAAGTTGGATGAAATTTAAAGCTTGGGTGGGCGATTTACTTCAGAAGCTTTTTTTCTCTATCCCAACAGCAATCAATAAATCAAATGCTCTGACCAAAAAATAAATAATCAAAAAAAAGAATTCCAGTATCTGCGGCTGTCACAGGACGGCAACAAGCACGGCCAATGATTTCCTTCAGTCCAAATGAAATGCCTGAATGGCCGACTTGCCTGTCTACCTTCCTGTGCACTCATTGTGCGTGACTACGGATGCACCAAATATTCTGCCACTAGAATTAATCGGCTGAAAAAAAGCACTTTCGGTGTTCGGCCTAATAAGTCAAAACATCGATTAAATTTTACCGAACAATTATGATGACATGTCGGCAGTGTGGAAGCATTTTAAAGCACATCCACTCCATCTGTGGCTGACTTCTTAGAAAAGGCAACAAACTGTCAGACCTGCTTTGAGTGTTTGTCACTCGTTTCTGAGACGGCAATTAAGCTAGCCGCACCTAAATTTGGAGTGCACACGTATTCAAGCCTTTATGGTAACTGCAACGGACCAGAGCGAGCTGACCGGAGCTGACAGGCAGGTTAGCGACTTTATCCTGTCATTTTCTCTCTTTACAAAGACAAGTGTTGCAGTATGAGAGTCCTACCTAAAGAGAGGCTGTGAAGTCTTTATGTTACTCGATAGAACCACATATAACATTATTTATCAAATTGGGTCGAGTTGATGAATTTAATTCAAGGATGCACATGTGACAACGTCTGGTTTTCAAAATAAGGTGTCTATACAGGATGGAAATAAGATTAATTGGATTATATTCACAGAAAGTATAAAACATATTACATGTGTACATTAAAAGTAAATGGACACATGTCATTTACTTTACACTGAGTAAAAAGCACTTTTTTTACTATTTAATTTATACAATGGTAAAAAAAAACAAGGAAAAAATGTGAATTTAGTATTTAGCAAATTTTTTCATTATATTTGGCTTCGGCTTTGGCCTAGAATTTTCATTTCGGTGCATCCCTAAGTGTGACAATGTGTTTTGGAGAAGTAGCTTTGACGGGAGGTGGGGTTTTCTGGGTTGGATAATCACAAAATCTTCATTCATCTAACGCTGCCTACAGCAGCTTTACGATGACATCTTTTCACTGACAGGTAAGGTCAGGTGTCCTGCAGTTGTCTAAAATGTGATTTCATAATTTAATTATTCCCTTTTCCAATGAACGATCCATCAAAATACAATAGCAGATTTACCTGTGCCGTGCAATGACCATATGAATTTTGACAACCTTCGCCTTCAAATGGGCTAAACTGATTGGATCAACATGAGTGACCATACAGGTGAGTGGAGAGAAAGCAGTTTCACTGTGTTCAACTTTTAGTACTTTAGTAGCTCCGAGTAAATATAATATAATATGGTTTAGTCATTGCTGCAGTAGTTTGGTGGATGTTCTTACTGGAACTGGTTTGATGAGGAACAGCAGGTGACAGGTGAGTGTTGCACTTTGGGTAAATCCAAACTTTAATCTTTGATCAAGCTGGGTGAGTGTATTCCACAAACTCTGTAGTAAAGAACCATGGGCCTGAAAAAAGCAACATTACCTGGATGCAGTCTGTCCTTCGTGTACCAGATAGCGATGCCGTCGCCATGGAGATTCTTCTTTCCTGATCCATGAATTTTAAACTGCACATGCATCTCCCAGTCCTTCAGGTGACATGGCTGTAGATCAGAAACAGAACAAGTATTTACTTTCTATGGCAGCATTGTGAAATAGTAAAATGTTTTACAAAACGTCTATATAGGTATTTTTATTTTATATTTCAAATACAAGTCCGCAGAAAGGACACTTCAGTCCAGCAACAACCACAAAATACATTTTTAGAAATGTCTTTTTAAAAAAATCAGATGTTAAAAAGTACACAATTCACCAAAATCAAATGTGAGCTGATGAGCAGTTATATCTTGTAAAGATGAAACAGAATAAATATCAATTTGCGACAACTAGATTTTTGTGAGGCTGAAGTTTAAAGTGAGCCAGGCTGAGTGGGCATGGCTTTATTAACCCGATGCAGAAGATGTACTAGAAATAGAATATGCTTGGGTATTAATAGTAGTCTGTTCTCACCACAGTATTCCAGATGGATCCCTGCTTGCTCCTCTCATCTGGAGTGAGTCGGACATATGAGCTCGTCACTAAAGTGCTTCCCCAGAAGTCCCACTGACTGGTAGGGCTGCTGCCAACACCTGCAGGACAAACAGATAAAAGGAAAAGACACACACTGGAGTTCAGAGTTATCAGTTAAAGTAGGCTGCGTGCTGCTTTCACTTAAGAATCAAGTTCCCGATATGTGTTCCTTAACCTGCACTTTTTTGCCCACGCCCTTAACAAACTTCTTTATCCAGAGGGAGTGCTGAGTGAGCTTTCACAATTTCTCAGATATTCTGACTCATAACTAACATGCTAATGAACTCCACTTGCCTTGTTGTTAAAATGTGCTATACAAATAAACATGCCTTGTTTTGCCTTACTGAACTGTAACAGCCAAAGTACAACCAAACTGTGAATCGTGTTTCCTTTACTTTCACACAAAATGCATTCAATGACTACTTTTCTGTCTAAAACTGTTAAAAAACACATTCAAACTCAATAACCAGATTGAAATATATAGAAAATCTTAGCAGAATATTGATGTAAATGTTATGTTTACTTCTATGTGTGTAGTATTTGTTAAAAGTGTTGTTTAGAACTGCAATCTGAGTGTAAAGCAAAATGTGTTTGCGTTTTAGCAGAATTGTTCAGGTGTTTGGTACATGAATTACAGGTTGTGCAAGTACCAGTGTGACTGTTTAAACAACTGAGAAAAACGGCATTGCAGCACTGAAATTTCAGGAATTTGTTTTTTGTTTCAACGTTTTATTTTTACTATTTTAAGTTGCTACAAAAATCGTTCTGCATTCTTATTTTTGTTACATATTCTTTTGTAGTCAATAAAGTGAAAATATTTAATTCTTATTCTATAATAAAACACGGATATATTTGAAGAATTAGTCAAGTTTTTCCATTTATGTACAATGCTATAATTTTGTAGGTACGTGTGTTGAGTGACAATGTACATTTTCTGAGTGAGAATTGTTCCCCGTGTTTAATCGACCAAGCTAATTTTGAGACTTGTATGACCGGTTTTGGGGTTTTGAGTGAGTTTTGGAGGCGAGATTGGCCGGGATGCTAGTTGGTAATGCAGACTTTATGAAGAGGTTTGAAAATGTGCTTTCAGTTTTGACCATTGCATGTTAGCAACTGAATAAAAACTGTAAATGACCATACCAGTAGCTCTTGAGTTACACATAATCTTTACTTAGTATTTTAGAAGATGATTTTTCAGTGCAAGCTTTACAGTTTTAGATGCTGTGTATATATCCCGGCATTAATGAGTATCCACTGGATTCCATTGATTTCTAAATTGTATAAAATCCATAAGCAGATTCTTAAAAGCTTTAGTTGTGCACATCTGCATTATGTTTTCAGAATCTTCTAATAATTTTCTAACACACTGTCTAAATGAATCCAGACTTGATGCTCATTGTAATGGATTGCACACCCGAAGGAAGTTTCAACATCCTGCTAACAGAGAGTCATTAAATGGAAGTAATGGAAATCAACTGATGCCTGGAAAATCAGAAAAAAACTGAAACATACAAAATCACTAGTATGCTCCAACATCATGTCGTGCTGTACCTGTAGCTAAGTCAATAAGCTGACATTTTAGCCGACAAATATTTGACTTTCTAATGTTACATGCAAAAATGTAAAACAGGTCCAACGATACTGGTATGACGAAATATTAAGTGTTTGGTTCCTTGTATAAAAGCATTCTGTGGCGCAGATGCTTCTGTTTTTAGTTTACTTAAATAGCATTTCACTAACTTGTGCATGTTACAGCCCTGACTGCTTATTACATTACACTGTAATTGTGCATATATGTGTATGTTTAAAGTATATATGTATGTGTGTAATATAAGTAGCTCTTACGCTACACGCATACACATAACGTTATATACACACACACTAGATAATTAGTTTGTATGACTGAGCCGATAGTCAATTGCATTAATTAGCCAAGAAGCAGCACTTGTCGCTGAATAACTTCTACAAGGCGGCGAAAGAGGGAAGAATCGGGCAGAACTCCAGGTTAGCTAACGAGCTAACTGAGCCATGTTACCTTGGTACGGTTTCATTAACGAGTGCTCTCTCTTCAGATGTTCCGCGTTTCCGTCCGTTATATCACAGCACACAAGAGACAACTCGAGTATCAGGAAGATCAGTGTTGGGCTCAGAAATGCTCTAAAGTTCCCCATTTTGTTCAAACTGCTTCGGAGAGGAACTCTCACAGAAAAACTGTTTTTCGAAACTCCATAAATTGAGCTGGTCCCTTCTCTATTGTCGTCCGGAAATAAACCACACAAGTCCGACGCATATTGCCAAACTTCCTAAACCTGGGGGGGTTATTTTGTTACTTGCATATTGCTAAAATCATACGTGTATAAAGACCAAAATCTTAGCGGGACAAAAAATGAAAAATTGCTTGATATATTTTAATTGCGATGATACGGGGGAAGCGTTAAACCGTGTGTTTCCGCACGGAGGTTTTTTGTACATGGCGGAAATTATACCAGCCAATCAGAGACAAGCACATCGCAAATCAAGCCAATCACGGAGCACTTTGTGTCCAGTTGTTTGTCCGCTAGATGGCAGCAGAAGGCAACAAATAAAAACACAGGAACTGTGGTCTGTGTAGTTTTCTCTGATTCAGCAGGGCTACAGTGTAGTCCACATGTTTTGAAAGGGGGGCTCCAAACTGTTCCAGGGAGGCTCAGTGAAAAGATATTACATTGGCTATCAAAAGGAGGGATCACATCGAATAGCCTAAATGTGTGTGATTTGGTTAAAGAGGCCAGGTTTGCTTCAGATATACAGTAGTTTGGGGATATTTTACTGTCCCAGGGTCAGAAATAGTAAATGCCTGAGGACAGACCTCTTTTTATATATTTGGTGCAGTCTGAAATTATGTCAAACAGCAATATTAGGTTGTTGAGTGTCTATGGCATCAAATAACATAATCATGATCCTTACACATCTTGGACTTAAGCCAAACTAACCAAGCTTTGGCTGGGGGGAAGGGGCACAGTTTTAGACTTTGAAACACATGGTGTAGATAAAATTAAACTTTAAAGAAACTTTTTTTTTGTATCATTAGTCCGTTAGTCCTTTGTACATTTTGGTTAAGGCATAAAATACATGCAAGAACAGATTTTGAAGTCAAGTGGCAAAATAAATGAAACTGTAGATATATTAGTCTATATTTTACACAGAATCTAAGTCTAGTATTACTCCATAGTACATACGGTATATAATCACAGTATGCAATGAAAGTATGCATTGGATTCTTCCATGTGCTCTGATACCTCCCACAGTCCAAAGACACACAAGTTTGGTCAACTGGAGACTCAACTGTGGGTGGATGTGAGTATGAATGGTATTTTGTCTGTATGTTTGTCAGCTCTGTGATAGATCTGTCCAGGGTGGATCCTGCCTCTCGTCCAGTGTTAGCTACTGTATGTTAAGCCCAGTGGTACCAGTAACCTGCATAAAACGCACATGTAGCATTTGAGGACACAAATCATTCACAAGAATTGTTCTTTAAGTACAAAAAAGTAAACTGGTAATTCATGTTTGCAAAGTATCAAAACAATAACTGACCTATATCTGCCTTGCTCTGTACACACCATTTATGGTCAGAGGATTTAGCAGAAATATAAGCTAACATTTCCAACTAACAAGACCACATACTGTATTGTACCTCACAAGCTGCACATTTGCTACCTCTCACTGTGAGCACGGAACAAGCCTATTTTGCTGGGCAGTTTCAATAACTATACCATGAGCACCTAAAATAAGAAGGTGGTGGTACTGATGAGTACTGGCTCAATCACTTGTTATGCCAGGGAAGGAATGGAAGTACTTCAGTTAGACTGAATTTTGGAACTTTTGAAAATACTTTCCAATACCCAGTAATTTGAGAGCTGAGAGTTTGTGTTGATCATTAATGTAGGTGTAGCTGCTGTCTGCAGTCCTCTCCTTCCCTGACACATCCAAACATGTCAAGATCTGAAAGCTTCCTATTATTTACAAAAACATTTATGACTGCAAGAAACTCAGAGCGTTGACAACATCAGAGCAGTGTTTTGCTCTGCTGTTTTTCTGCAGCTGTGCAAGGTGGGTTATTATTTTCTGTTGTGACCTGTGTTTTCTGACCTGGTCTTCACGGCATCAGTTACTGAAATGCATTATTATACGCTTACTTAAACAAACTTTCAAATCAATATCACTATAACATAGTTCACACAGTATTGCATTTCTGCCACATGTTTTATTTGAAACTACCCCAGGAGTCGCCAAAGTCAGACATTTGAATAACATTGCTAAAACAACATTCGCTATCTTGAGATCTCAAGATAATTATCCCATTATAATGGGAAAACAACATTATTAAAAAAAATATTTGAATGAATGGCCGCTTAGGGTTCTGCACAGTGGTAGTTGGTTTTTTTTTTGCACCGGATGAGGATGACTTATGGCAAATTAACTATGATACGATTGATAATGATGTAAGTAAGAACAGTTTATTTGTGATAATCTTCTAACACACTGACTAAAATGAATACATTGTACAAATGAAAAAAGTTTAAAGATCATGCTAATAGAGTGTAATATTATATGGAAATTAATGGAAACCAACTGATGCCTGAAACATCAGGAATAAAACTGAAAATCAGTATTTTACTTGATTTTATGCATTCTATTTTTTATTTTTATTATTACCATTCAGCAGGTTTTATTTTCCCGCTTATGTTATTGACTGTTTATTATATTTGCATCTTTATTTTTATTTTATTTTTATTATTATTATTATAAAGATGGCTTTGTTAATTAACTGGCATTCTATCCCTGTTTTATGTCAGTTCTGTCTATTATCATGTAAAGCACTCAGTGCATGTAATTTCTTTATTGTAAATCTAATCTTAATCTTTAAATATGAAGATATGATGATGATGATGATGATGATGATGACGATGATTAGTATTATCTGAATGGTCATTAAATCTAGCACAGTAAGAGAGTTGAGATCATTGAGGTTCTCATTTTTAGAGCTGTCTGTCAACAAGTCAGGCGGTTGTGTGGCTGTCACACTGCTGGCGTCCCCTTCTCTCCTCTCACGGATGACAGCACAACCTACTGACTGATGTGTGTTAAGTGAGTCAGACAGAAGAATTACTCTGATTTTCTGGACACACATGACATGTTTTTGCAGTGCCAGCAAACTGGCAGTCATGTACACACAGTGAAGACACAGACAAAGCATTTCTACACAAACTGTTGTACGCAAGCAGAGAGAAAAGCAAGTATCCAGGATTAATATGCACAAAACACACAAGGTTTGTACACAGATACACGCAGTCTACACATATTAAAACACAACATACACACACACACAGAAAACTTAATGATATGGCTACAGACAAACATACTATGATGAAAAGAAGAAAAGGACAGCAAAACTGAAATCAACAAAATCAGAAAACAAAAATTCCGGTTTGTCTGTTTATGGCTTAGTCACCCATCAACAGAACATCTTATGATGTGGAATGAGACTAAACTCATTTAAGTGAGCGGTCTGACTGTAGATTTTTCTCTTGGTCTCACTCCACCTGAATCACACCATAAATGTCATTGCCGCTCCACCGCCAGCTCTGTGACTCACCAGTCTGCAGAAACAATACATTAAACTGAGCTTTTAACAGCACACTCTGATTTTATTGGGCTAAAAATGAGTAAGTGGAGAGCAGATTTGCTATCTGAAAATGTTTGATTCCACTGACAGGTTACAATTGAGTGTTCCCTTTTAAATGTAAGCGTCAGAAACACATTTTGCTTGTTAATTTTTCAGTGTTATGCAACACCAGAACACACAGAACATGTACTGTTGCATGTCAGCATCCATTTTAAGCGATGAAAGTGAACAGAGGTAGTAGCCAAAGTTTTAGTGTCTTTTTTCTGTACATGCAGTGTTTCAGTCCACAAGGAAAACACACTGCAGATGGCTGTTTGAATCATACTGCCACAGAGGCAAACATACTCTATTTTAATACTGACAAATGGTGAAACTCAAAGCTTTCCATTTTTGTTATATGAAAAGTTAATTTTTCATTTTTCATCCCATGTGTTTTTCGGTGTGGTAGAGTGAGTCGTCCATTGACTGTAGGGCTGGTGGTCTGATCCCTGGCTCCTCCTGTTTATGTGTAGAAATGTCATTGAGTACCTTTGGCAAGTAAAAATAAATACAGAAATTAATTAGCAATATAAAATTCACATGGCACAAAAACTATGCAACACGTCCTCCAAATTAAATGACAAAATAAATCTTTTGTAAATGTCCTCCAGAGCAAAAAGGGATGGTGTGGTTCGTGGTTGGCACCTTAAACCCCTAAGCCAACTGGGCACTCTGCAAAAGCTACTTTAAAGGTGGGACATTTTGGCCTTAATGTCATTTGTGAAACCTGTACAGTGACGGCAGACTATGCCGTCCCCGTTTCTACCATACAATGCTACATATTTACACATGCAGCACAACCATGTGTATCTTTGTCTGGTGGTGATAATGCTATGTGTCCGTGATCTCATGTCCATTGTGTGACCAGTGTTCCTCTTTGTCAGTGCAGTTTGTGTTTAAGCTGACATGATTTTAAATGTGTTATATATTACATGTTAATTAGTATTCAAGTTAATGATTCAAGCTAATGAGTTTGATGAGAACTGTGCTTCAGAGTAGGCGAAATTCATTCAGCAGTGTTACTTTAAGGTTCAGTGTGTAGGTTCTAGTGACATCTAGTGGTGAGGGTTGCGAATAGCAACTCCCCTCCCCTACCCAAGTGAGCAGTATAGCTACGGTGCCTGAGACAGGACAAAGATGTCATCTATGAGATAAAAGAGATTGCCAGTCAAGAAATTAGGTTTCTTTTAGATATATTAAGAAATTATATAAATTATGTAAAGCCATATGTTTTTTAGAATATTATTGTTACTTTTTCATTAATAAACAACAGCCACATGAAGAAATTAAGTGCTACATGATGTCTCATACTCATATTTTACATCTTGGGAGGGTTGGCTCATCTGGACTAACATAGAAGAAAATGAAAATGAAGCAATTCTCAAAAACTATCACATCTAGTGCATCCAGTATGACCACTGACAGATACCAGGACAATGTAAGCCTCACTCTTTCTGCACCACAGTCCATTATAAACCACATAATACATGAAGTTTACAAAGGCATTGGCTGGGGAGGATCAAGGCTCCTCTCGCTTTCTTTTGAATTTTTTGAAATACAACAGAAACACAAAG